AAGGAGGGGTCACCGGCCTTCTCACAAGGCTTCCTCTTCTGAGAATGCCTGTGGCTTCTCGTCCGATAGAAAGAATAGCCATGGACATTGTTGGTCCCTTACCCATTACTTTACAGGGAAATAAATACATCTTAGTTATCACTGATTATTTTACGAGGTGGCCCGAGGCTTATCCTTTGAAAGACTTTACTTCTGAATCTATCATAGAAAAACTGGAACTTTTTATTTCGGCTCACGGTGTGCCTTTACACGTAGTTACTGACAGGGGCTCGAATTTTATTTCACATGCAATAAAAGAAGTATATCAGAAATTAGGCATCACTAAGCACACCACCACCAGTTACCACCCGCAGTCTGACGGAGTCGTTGAACGCTTAAATGCTACTCTAATAAATTCTCTCAGCCACCTTGTGAGTGAGACGCAGGAAGAAGATTGGGACAGACATTTGCCTTTCGCACAGAACTGGAAGGCATAGCGCATTACTGGACTGCCCAGCATTTTTTCTTTATAGAAGAGATTTAAATTTACCTATTGATTTGTTGACACAAACAGACTGTAAGACTTATCGTGACACAGACACTTATTCAAGGGATTTAATTTTAAGACTCCGCAGGGTTTTCTCTTTAGTAAATAAAAACTTAACGGAGGCGGCTGAAAGACAGGCAAAGATTAGAGACAAGGTTGTTTTTTCAAAAAAATATTAAAATGGGGGATATGGTGTATCTTTGTACTCCTGTGTTGCGGCTTGGATTGACTAAGAAATTTGCGAAGTTTAATAAGGGTCCATTTAGAGTGGTCGAACAAGTCACCAAAGTGAATTTTAAAATTGAGTCAGTTACGAGCCCACAGCAGTCGCAGGTAGTACATGTGGATAGATTGACAAAGGTACCTGAACGTATAAACTTTCCTTCATTGCAGGCGTGCAACTCTGATGCTCCAGAGAGAATTCATAATCAATGTGCTGATATTCCTTATAACCTGAGACGTAGGGATTCGCAGGGTTTTGTTGCTTACTAATGTAGGGCTTTGCAAACATTTATTTTTGGACTCAGTAAATCAGAATTTAGCGAATATATATATATATATATATATATTTGTATATAGTTTGATTTTTTCAGTTTGGCCAAACGTTATTTTGTATATGCATTAGGTTGTATTAGTATTATTTTTGTGTGTCTTGGATAAAATTCTAATTGGTATTTGCACAGCGTATTCGTTATGTTAACTTTCGGAATTGATTTTGGTTGGATTGAATTTTTGACAATCACGTTTTCTTTCTTTCTGATTTTTTTTTTGTGTGGGTATTTTCGGCTGGTTCCGAGGTTCCTTGTGTTGTAACGTTCTTTTCTTTTCTAATGCTTGGCCCTGATCAGGCCGCTTCTGTTCTTAGACGTGATTGTTTGGGATTCATTCTTGGAAGTTATTCAATTTCGTAGTACTTAGGGGGGTCTTTACTCTTTGTTTGAATACGTTCATGTGACATATTTTATTTGGAATTGTTTGAATTATTAGTGTGTTTATTTTCTCAGGAATGTATTTTATGTATCTGCGGCGCGTTAATTATCTTATTTTATTTATTTATTTTTTTTTTTGGTGTGAACAATTGGATTAGATTATTTCTTTCTTCGGGTGTGAGTATCCGAACAAATTCAGTGGCTTATCTATCGTCAGGGAAAAATTGACAGATAAAGTCTTCTTCAACTTTGAAAGAGTGATTGTTCTTCCTTGGTCGAAGGTGAGACGTAGGGGGGTGAAATCTGGTTTCTTTTTAGGTCAAGTTTCTTGGCTTGTATTCTACTAAACTGTTAGTCAGCTGTTTGTTTTTCGAGCATTGTGATCTTCTACTAAGGGGTATTGTGGTGCTGAGTTCTTAACATTACGGGGTTGTTGCTTTCACTTTCTCGGGTTGAACGCTGCAGGGGGAGTTGCTAACACAATGATTTCTAACTACAGGGTTTTCCCTCGCTTGCATTGACAACTCCGTACTCATTTAATGTACTCCATGTTTGTGCTCAGCAGAAATTGTCACAACAGTAGAATGTGTTCGACCTCAGGTGAAATTGTTTACATTAATGGACTGAAAAAAAATGAATAGATAAATAAATGTTCAGAAATGTGGCCACACAGAGACTGCAACACTAGTGTGATGTAATGAACTGGAAAAAGAAAGAGAATTTCTTTTTGTCATAAAATTCTTCAATTCTTTATCTTAGACATATTTTGTTTGTGATTAACGCCTTATTTTTTTTTTTATTTTGTATGTGTTCTGAATATTCTAGGTTTAATTAATTAAGTGATTTAATTGATGTTTTTGATTAATTGTTTTTGATGATCTTCCTTGAGTATTTTAATTAGTAATTGCTTTGATTAATCTTGTTGTTTTCTTGCACATTTTGGACTTGAAATTTAATGTGTCAGTAACGTCACTGTTACCAAGGAGTCGTGTGAAATATTGGTACATTATGTTATCCTTTAGCCTTATTGCACAGTATGAGTCATGCTATTTCAAGAAGTGTCTGTCTTCTAAATTTTGGTAAACCAAAATTTAATTCCTTAGGGGAAAGGATGTTGTGTAGAGAATTGTCTGATCGCGTTATAAAAACTAGGTGAATGATTTTCTGATTTATGGAAATCTTAATTTTATTTGATTCTGAATTATTTATTTTAATGCTTTAATTTTGGGGAAAAACAGATGCTTCTGGGAATATTATTTAGTTTAAAAGAATATTATTTATTTTTCTTTTATTTGCAATTTTTGTACAAGCTTTGATTCATTGTGAAAGGAAGCAGGGAAAGGGAGGCAATTTTGCTAAGTCATGATTTCGCGCGCTTTGTCCTTTAGAATGTTCTAGAAGAAATTTCATTGTGCAGTTGACCTTAGGACAGGAAGTACGTGACAGAAGGGTCAGAGGTTGCCACTTAACTTTCGATGTAAGTCATTCAGGTTTTGGCGATTGAGGGTCCGGTTGTTGGCTAAGTGAAGAAGGGCGCGCATGCGCGATCACCCTTATTTCCGCATTCAGGGGTTGAAATTGAAAACGCAAATTTTGCCCAAAATTAAGGGGGCGATAATTGAAGCCATAGTGGGAGCCCGCGTTTGTGAAGGAGACGAAGAAAATTCGAGTTTGAATCTTGAATCACTTTTCGTGCGAGACTTGCTTGCTGGAACTTACTTTGGACGTTACTCTTGAAACTTGCTCTGGGGTTGAGCGTTAAAACGATGTAATTTACGAAGAGAGATGCTCCCGGCCGCGTTTTTTGGCTAAGAGGCGAGAGACTTTACTCACTTCTTACTCTTGGAATCACTTACTGGGTGGACTTGCTTACTTTTGGGCTAAGATTGTAACTTCGAGCTTGCTCTTGGGATGAGCGAGAGAAGGCGAGCTGTAATTGCCTAGAGAGACGCTTTCCGGCCGGGAGCTGCAAACATGCTCCCCTGCCGCGTTCTGGTAAAAGGCTAAATTGAACCCGGGCGAGTGATTTAAACTTTCAGGATTAAAGACTTGTGGCCCGATTTTCGAAGCGGGAAGACCAGGCGGACAGCCGTGCTGGGCAGCAGTGCTCCTGTTTCTGTTTTCCAGAGTGAAAATTGCTTCGTCGTTATGAAAAACCAGTTACCTGCCATGTGTGTTTCGCCAATAGTGCCAGGACAGGACGATGTCCTCTGAAACTTCCATTTGTAAACCGTGGAATCTTCGCCGCCGACGTCAACGCTTATTAGGATGCGAGTCCTCCACTTCAAGACGTCCACCCAAGATAAGTTTTATTTTTTTGTGTTTGAACTTTAAGTAAGGTTTCAACAACTTCCTTGGAATGTAAAAACAACGTCGAATCTTAAATTAATTCTCAGGCTTTCAATTGTTTCCCTTTCCCCTTCTTAATTTACCGAGACAAACCTTAAGGTCTTTATATGAATTAGGATGTAATAATTTAAGTTGTTTGTGTAATCTTCCTTAGAACAGATGTTAAATTTCAGATGGTATGTTTTTTTTAACCTCTTAGAAATTACAGAACGGGTACCCGTTAAATTAAAAGGGTCATGTAATAGATTTGCAAATCATGAATTTAAAAGTAACCAAAGTAAATGACAAATTGAAGAATTCACCTGTGTCTAAAATAGTAGTAAATTGTAAACTGTAACAAAAATAAGAAGTTTGACTCTCTGATTAGGATAAGATTAATTTTTAATTGTGAGGAATTTGAATAAACTGGTATTTAATCTGGAAACCTATTACTTATGTTTTCTTTTTATCTTTTATGTGTTTTTTTATATATTTATTGATTTTACATGTTGTTTATTCGATCCTCTCACGGCGCGGTCCCGGATGCATTTTCACAACGCAATGCATTAACCGTTTTACCTATACGATCACTAAAAGTGTGGTAATTAGCTACTCCTAAGAGTTTAGTTTCTCAGTTGATTTTAGTTAATTACAGGTTTCACCTGTCTGTTTTCTGCATTAGTTTCCTCCCTAAGAGGAAGTTGTAACACAGCATTAGTGCCCATGATTTTTCGGCAAAGTAAAGAAACAGAACAAAACATAGGTTTTTCTTACACAACAGTACTGTGTTCACACAGATGTAACCATTTTTAATATCTATGTTTTGTAACATTAATCAACGTGCCCTATGAGTGGATCTCGTGTGACCCTAACATGAGTCAGCTTTAGATAAGGGTGGACGTGGCGCTAAACCAATTAACCATAATGGTAAAGGGGTGATGCCCCCGTTCTCCGTCACTAAACTAAACTAAACTAAACCTACTGATCCGACGCTGTTCTCGCTCTGTATTATGGGTGTCATTTCAAAGTAAAAATCATTTATTGTTCTTTGCTGTCGCTCTTTGTTTGCCTCGTTTCATGAATTTCTAGCCACTCCTTCTTGTTGTATTTTTAGTGTATTTTGAAATTTCTTACTGCTTCCAGTATAGATATATGCTGTTTCAGGCCAGATTTATTTTATTTCTATTTCAGGATATTATGAAACATTCATTGTATCTGTTGTTTTAATTTATTTATGTGTTTTTTATAGTATGCTTCTGCTTTGGGGACAACGAGATCTGTTCTTTTGCAAATGGCAACAAGCGCTGTGTATGTAAAAAGGGATATGCGAGAGACAAATATTATTATGACAAATGTAAAGGTAAGCGAGAATGGAATGGAGATGTTCAAAATCGAGACTAACATTCTAGTGAAATTACTTCATAGGAATTTTGTATTTTTATCCGAAATTCGGTGAATAATTACACTGCATTTAATATGTTTGTCGAATTTCGGATATATTTTTAAAACATTCTTAACATATTTATCTGGTTGTCTTTAAGAAAGCGGTAAATATTTTATGCCAGAGCCATGGAAGAATATTTTATTTTGACTTACGAATTATTTCAACTTTCGTAAGCCTGTTTCTTCTTCAACAGCAAACTAAAACAAGAAAAGAAATGGAAAAAAGAATATTGTTTCAGTTTCATCTGATAAAATAACATGCTAAAACGCTCAGAAAATAACATTTGTTAAAATGCATATTTTTAGAATTAGAATTTATTATGAAAATATTTGAGGTCATGCTAATCTTTGCTATGATATGTGCCTGAATGATCCCTAATGAATACATTCCATTCTGCAATTATTTTAATTTCAAAAATTCAATTACACAACGAATAAAATAAAACTGCACTTCTCCAAAAACTCACGAAATGCCTCAGATTGTTAACTGTAGTTTTGTCAGTGTAGTTTAACTACTCGAGGTTAAGGATCTGGAGAGATTATCATTCAAAACAACACGCTTAGTTTTAAACATGCGTTTAACACTAATAATGTTTTATTAATCAGTGTAACAGTTTTGCCCGAATATCAACAGACGTGATAATGCCTTATGACTTACCTCTGAACTGTCTTCTTTTGAGCAATCATCATTTATCTTTGAGCTGTTTAGTGCTTCCTGTATCCCTTCCTTATAACGCACGCACATAATGTCATTTAATTCTCTTTTATCTCCGTACTAAATGCTCTTGGGTAACGACACTATGTTTTTAATTATGTCTCTTACATTTTGTTTAATAACCTGTTAATTACGCTCTTTAACAACTGATTTTCTATTTGGTATTTAATTACTCTCTGTATTTCGAAAATATTGTGGCAATTCTCTCTGGACTTATTTGTTACTGCTGGGCTTTAATCTGTATGTATAAACTTCAGTTTATAATTTTATTGTTTAGGTTACTAAAATTTGTGATTTCCCTCTTCCCGCTCAAGTACTAAACGTGCAGGAATATTTCTGCTATTTTTGTTTGTCCATTCAGGGAGTACCACATTCGTAATTCTCTAATAGGGAAGGTCTGCTCATAATAACTCTCAATTTCCTTTTTATGTGTTCCAGTTCTTCATTTGTACGCCTGCTCTTGGATTTAGCAAGCACGAGAAGAACGTTTTATCGGCACTTTTCGCAAAACTCAGTTAGAAATAAGGAGTAACTTGTCGTATCTCACAGAGTTTCTCTCAATAGACAATTGTCTTCCCCATGGTATCTGGATCGCTTTAAACTCAGGAATTGTAATAAATGTGAGTCCGACTGGCAAAATGATCCAGTCCACTTTGAATGTAGGAAATCAGTGAGCTGCTATTTACGAAAACCTTCACATAAACATGGCCAGTTCCGGACAGTTACCCTTCTGGAAATAGAGCAGTACTGCACATATCAGAAGCTACTGCACAGCTGCCAGTATCACGGTTACGTAATCGCAGCATTAGATCCATATGGTTCTTTGTAATGTAGCAAACGTATGAGTTGCATTTCATCGCTCTTATATTTCCTGCAGACCAGCACATTTTCCGATTTTAGCATACGTAGTAATATAACTATGAGCTCTTTAAATGGCAATTTTAATATATACATGTAGGTTGAAACGACTGAACATAAATGTGCCCTTTAAAGTGAAAAGTACACTTTAATTGATTTGAATTAAAAATGAATGTGCTAGATTAAAAATGAAAACATATGCCATAAAATATAATCTTTTGCATTCGCAAAATTAATATAAAATAAACTTGCTTTTTACAATACTGTATATTTTGCACTGAAATATTGCATGAAATGTATATTCTATACTATCCTAATACTGAAATAAATTGGATGCTTCCCATAAATTCAGTCAGCATGCGTTAAAAGCACTATCTAAACAAAAATTGCAGTCATATACTCCAGTAATGAGTACTATTGGTAGACGTGCACTACTGTTCTGAATATTTAATTTGCATTGTACTTATTTTTGAAGCCAAAAGTACAGTAACAACACTATGTACTGTAAACAATAAACAGTGTGCCATCATCTATGCTTCAAGCAATGTGTTTTTCTGTGGGCATGTAATATTATACTTATGAATGTCTGTACATTTAATTAATTACATTACCACTATTCGTATCATGTATAGCTTGTAATATAATGCATTGCTTCCCTTTACTTTATATTTAATTGCATTAAAAATCTCCTAAATGCGTGGTAACACACATATGAAACTGTACATTATTATGAACTGCTATGAATGGAATTCTTTATTATGCATGCAGGTCTAGTTTTTTTTCCGAATTTCCAGCATGTGATTGTAATGCATCAACATGTAAACATATAGATAACAGGAATAATCTGCACACATATAGATAACAGGAAGGGTTAATGTATTAATCAGGTAAGTGAGAGCCATTTTATTAGCTATGTCTCTACTTAACTTACGTCCTTCATTATTTGAAAATGTGAAATACATATTACATTCGAAATTCTTATCCAAAAATGGATGAACCTGGAATTTTGCACTGCTTTTCCTACAAACATGTGCTCCTTCAAAATGCTTACCTCTACTTCTATTTCGAGATTTTGTAATCTATCTCTTTATAGAATGCCTTTGCGACGGAGAAAACGAGGTTTGTTCTTTTCTGGAAGGCTACAAAAACTGTGATTGCAAAGTGGGATATTTGAGAGATGAAAATGATAGTAACAAATGTAAAGGTAAGCAAGATGAAAAAAGGTTTGATATTAATCCTAAAAAAATGAAAGGAAAATTGAATGAGAATTTTGTAATGTAGTCACAAATTCAGTAGACTATTGCTTTTCAGAGTTTTGATATCTTTATTAAATATTCATAAGAAATTTTCCTGGTAGTCCTAAAGAATTTAGTATATAGTATTCTGTAAGGAAAAGGAAATTAATTTTTATTTGCATTTAGTAATGACGTAATTTCGTTTTCTTTTCTGTTTTTTTTTTTCTGGAGCAGCAATATAAAATAAGCTTGACTTGCGTTTGATAAAGACAGCTTGTTTAAATATTTAAGTGGTAACGTATTTTTCAGTCGTATTTTTTTAAGAAATGAAGGAATTATTAAAATCTTTGAGTTAAGGTTATCTTTTTTATAGTATTAAACTCACTGTATCAAAAGTGATTAACTTCAATATCGTAATTATTACTATTTTGAAAATTAAATTAAGTAGCGAAAAACTCTTTGCTTTTAAGAATGAAATAAGAGCTAAACACTAAAAGCATTCGATATCTGAAGGGTTCCATGATATTTATTGCCTCTTTCTTTAGCATTGGACCACCTTTTGCACGAATAACTGCTTTGATTCATTTGGATATCGAGTCTACATGCTTTTGGAATGCATTTGCGTCCAGAGAATACCATGCATTGGCTATGCAGCTTTTTAGATATTGTAGATTAGATGGATTAGGAGATTGCTGTCGGATGCGTCTTTCCACCATATCGCATACATTTTCTATGGGGTTAAGATACGGGCTATGCGATACCCAGGGAAGGTATTCGAAGTTAGATTGATGTTAAGAGGACCAGTTTTGAACACATCTGGACCGATGTATTGTTGCATTATCGTCCATGAAGTATCCGTCACTATCAGGGTAAAAATGCAACATTTCAGAGAATACCTCATCTGCCAGTATATCTAGGTATCTCATGACTGTTTGTTTACCCTCGAGGAATACTAGGGCACCCTGTTCATGCCAGCAAAACATGCCCAATATCATAATACTCCCACCAGGCCCTTGCACAGTGCGAGTAAGGAAAGATGGATTTATGCCACCATGGAATTCTTTCCAAATTCATCGTTCTCCATCAGTGCAAAATAAGGTGTAGAGTAATTTATCCGGCCACAGTATCCGTTTCCAATCCTCAGATATCCAGTGTCTTATTTCCTGATACCACTGCAAAGGGATTCTTACATGGTTTTCCCACAGGCTTCCGACTATGCATTCCTATCCTCTGCAGTTCTCTGCGCATCGTTCGAGCTGAAATCTGTTGGGAAGAACCTTGGTTGACGATCTGTGCCATTTGAAGCACTGTAGAGTCCCTGTTCTGCAATACAATTCGTCGGAGCAGCCGCCGATTACTCTCTTGGAAAACTGTACTCGAACCGCAGTTACGTCTTCTAGAAAAGGACTGATATAGCTGCTTTTCAGAACCCAGTGAAACTTTCTGTCTTCAAAATCGAAGCCCCTGCTAAACGGGCACCACCAACAAGCATTTTTTCAAATGGTGAAAAATCTATCGTTTTCTTCCATTTTATTTCATCCATCATGAAAAACTCTCTTAAACCTTACTCATATTAGCATTCTAACCACATATAACCAACGTCATAAATAAAAATTGCATACTTCATCTCTCTCTAGCAAGCATTCAGATGACAATTTTCTAATTCATTGGCGAGTGTGTGTAAATTGCTCAATTTATTTTTGTCCTTTTTTTCATGCTTTTGCGGCGCAGAAAACAAGGTCTTCTCTTTTGCAAATATAAAAAAGAATCTCATTGCAGAAAGGAATATTTGACAGAAGAAAGTGATGGTAACAAACGCAAAATAAACAAGATTCAAACATTTGTAAATTCCCAGTCCAATAAATTAAAGAAAAAGCGTGTGGTAATTTTTTAATCTATTTTAAGAATCAGTAAATTCTCGTGTTTCAGAGTTTTGATATCGTTTTTAAATATTTATAAAATATTTTCATGTGAGACATAGATGGAGGTATGCATTTTCTGCGGAAGAGTTAAAATTATGTCTACAAATTTGCATTTTTAATTGTTTTGAATTGCGCAAGCCTGAATTTGAGTTCAGAATTTCAGTTTACGAGGAAAACGAGGAAAATCTAATAAAATCTTGTTTGATTTGTATTTGATAATGCTAACATATTTAAACTGTTAAATAATTGATTTTAGCATGCCGTTATTATCCGTTATTATGTAATTAAGTGGTTATTAAAATGTCTCAGTTAAGAGAAATCTTTTCCGTAATTAATTGAATACTGAAGCATAACTTCAAGGTTGCAATCATTATAATCTTCAAACTGAAATTCAACAGCGAATAAAACTGATCCTTTAAGGATAATTCACTTGTAACACATAATAAACAATTATAATCCCAGTATTTCATGACCAAAGGATAATGATTCTGATAAAATATAATTCAAAACAATACGTTAAGTTGTATTTAGTCTTAACATTATTATACTATGTGGCTTCTAATCATTATATTTTTCTCCGAAGAGTAAACATAATTAGTAGCCGATAAGAGTGCCAAAATATTACCTCTTTGTTTGGTACTTAATTATAGTCGTTCATTATTAGTGCAACACCTGATGAAAATGTATTAGTTTTATCTCATTTACAAAAAGAGAATGGTCTTACGTCTTCTGAAGGATGAATAATCAACATCATAATTTCTAAATCTAAAAAAGCAGACATAGAAAAAAAAGAATTTAAAATTTATTCAAAAATAAAATAATTTCAAATTTACTCTTCCTCGCGAATTATGTGGAATTAGATTCATATAGTATACCATCCCAAGTTTACCAGTTACTTGACTTTGACTTAAAACGCCAGCTTCCATTAACAATAGCTTTAATTTCAACTATTAAATCTAACCGTACAAGAATAGGCAAGCTTCATCTACATCTTCGCGGAAATTCAAATATTCAACTTACCAATCCCTAATCTATGATTACAATATCATCGTCAATTGTAGATGAGCTCTGAAGCTGAAAACGCGCAATGTTGTGCAGGTGTGGCTAGCAAGCCAAAACTCGCTTGCAGCTATTCCTAATTCCCAAAGATTTATAGTAGTAAAACTGCTTACTACTGAAATACAGGTAAAATTTGTAATGAGCGTAACACATGGCTAAGAGCGGCTTGCTTTATTTGATTATGGCAAAGAACACCAGCGCCTAAGGAAAGAAAGTCCTTAGTGAAGGACTTTCTAATGAAAAATGTCTACATATAGAAAAATGGCCCCATGGACAAAACCACTAATATCCCAATGTGGCCAGCCCATCCGCCGGAATTCTAACCCCAGAGTGAACTATCATCAGAAAATTAACCGCTCTGCTGCAATTGGTCGGCGAAGAGAGGTAGAAAGGAAGATGTAAATTAGATAACATTTTGTTCGTAAAACTTCAATTTAAATACCACATTAGAATGTGTAAAATAATATTATATCGGTGATTCTTTTCATGAAAGGAATGTTTTGAAATTTCGTATAACTTAACGTTACACTGCAGACACAAGCTTTTCCAAAACAGCGCCCGAACGATAGAATAACTGAACACTGCTAATTCTGACCTGGGTCCAATTACGAATGGATGGCTGTATAGGCCTTTTTGTCGTTTTCCCATGTGTAATGGGTGTATGAACCAGTTTCCCTTAGAAAGTCCTCCACGAACGCATCCCTCCTCCTAGGCAGATAGCCCTGCTGAGCTTTGCCATAATTAACTAAACCGAAATCGTCAGACCAGTTCTCTTTTGTTTAAATTTCGAGATGTTACGAAACATTCGTTCTGTCTTTTGCTTGAAGTTATTTATGTTTTTTATTACAGCTTGCCCTTGCATCGGAGAAAATGAATTCTGTTCTTTTGTAAATGGCAGCACAAGCTGTGAATGCAGAAAGGGATACGTGAGAGACAACTATTTTGATAACAAATGTAAAAGTAAGCGAAAATAAAGGTATTCGAAAATGGTTTTTAATAATTTAATTTAATGGACTACCATAAGGGAATTTTATATTTTAATCTCAAATTTCAATTAACAATTATGTTATTCTTAATACGTTTAATACGGCGATCCAAATTTTATACATTCTTAAAGCATTCTTAATATATTTATCTTGTTGACTTAAAGAAAGAATTAAATATTTTGCGACAAAGATATGTGGAAAATAATGTTTTGGCACTTAGGAAATATGTAAATATTCGGGTAATCCTATTTTTTCTTTAACATGAATTTGAAACAAGAAATGAAATGAAAAATCTTTTTGTGTTGCATCTGATAACGTGTTAAAACTCTCCTAAATTAACATTTTTCAACTTGTATTTTTGAAGAAAATGAAGTTATTATTTAAACGTTTGTGGTCAGAAAAATCTTTGCTATAACAGATACCTCCGTGGATCCCTAATGATTACCTAATGTCGCAATCATTTTAAAATTTTGTTAAATAGGGAATAAAACTGAACTTTTAACAAAATTCATGAAGTGATAATAGATTGTTAACAGTAACCCTGCCAGGGAATTCATGACTACAGTTCCATGATCTTGACAGAATACCATTCAAAACAGCACCCGTAGTTATGGCTTCATACTAGCTTTATAGTTTATGTTAGATAACAATGTTTCATTAATCAGTGTTGATATAAGAGTCAATACATTAATCAAAGATGCCAGAGCCATATTATTACCTATTTATTCACTCAATTTTGAAAATGTGAAATATATATTACATCAGAAATTCTTATTCAAAAAAAAGGAAGGCAAATGTTATGCTATCAGAAATACTACAATAAACTGAGAGCAAAAATTCTCACGATTAAATAATATTAAAATATGTTTAAATTAAATGCGCCTTCTAACGGAAATTCGCATATTGTTTATGCAAAAACTTCCCATAAAATAAAACATACTTAAACAAAAGTGTTGAAGAATCTGTTCGTTATGGAGATTGGAAAACTTGAATGTTAAAAAAACACTGCTTATGAAGATGATTGAGTGACGCAGAAAGTAATTTTTAGCAGATTACTTCTTCTTATCAAATTTAGAAGTTCTCTAAGGAGATCTGAAGTAGAATCTAGATTTGCAGTAATATTTGATGCCTGCTTACTAAGAGTGAAAAGAAAAGAATTTTAGCGTCATTCCCGAACTGTTCGCCTTAACAGACATTTCGCACGGAAGAAATTCAACTTCTTCGGTATATTACGATTCATTTCGGAAAAATATCATGTACGAGAAGAGTTGTATTCAACTTATAAAAAATTTCAGATATTGAACTTCGAATTCTGTTGTATGAGATAAATGAGCCCTTTATGAAGTAAATAGCATTTTTTATTAGCTCTTACTAATTCATACGATGCAAAATTTTATCTGCTGCAGATGCACTGAAATCTACTGCAGATTTCTGAGTTTACGATAAAAAGATTTTTAGCGAGTTAAATTTAAATAATATTTCATTTGTCACAGATAAAATGAAATAAGGGAGAACAATTCTTGCTAACTATCAGGTGATGAAAAAAGCTTCAGTGTATGACGGGCAGTCAAAACGTTCTAGAATTTTGCTGTAAATCTTTATCATCACATATATTTAATTTATTTTTTACTGCCACTATATTTATTTAATACCGGAATTCATAAAAGGCAGTGTAGCTGAAGGTAGAAGTGTGTGGTGATCAGTTGGTGCAATGTCAAAATTCGAGCAAAGGGTAAACATCAAGCTCATGTGCAGAGATTGCGAAAATTTGCTTCAGCGAACTTTAGCCTCACAAACAGTTTATGGTGACAGTTCTTAAAAGAAACCACCTTTTAGGAGTGATTTTCAAGATTTCGGGATGGACAGGAATCGCTGAAAGATCAGAGCCACAGTGAGGGATCCACAATTTCTAGAAACAAAGGAATGGTAGAATAAACTAAACAGTTACTCAGACCGTAGAATGACCATCGAGGAGTTGGCACAGAAAGTGAGAATTTCATTCCATGGATTCATTCACGAAATCATAGCAGATGATTTAAACATAAACGTGTACGTGCAAATAGAAACGTGTAAACGTGTTTGCCCAACGGCTATTGAAGCGAATCAGATACGACCCGGAAACAAAGATGCAATCATCAGAATGGCACAGGATGTCCGCTCCTCGACTAAAGAAATTATTTTATATCAAACCCAAAGGCGATGGTCATTGCGTTTTGTTGATGCAGCATGAATTTGTGCCACTTGGACAAACTGTTAATGGACCTTTTTATGAACAACATTTGAAAAGACTGAGGGAGGCAATCCGAAGAAAACATCCCGCCAAATGGCAAGGCGGATGGTCTTTCAATAACGTCAATGCTTCCTCCCACACATCGATTATTATGCAGGCATATCTTGCAGAAAAGAACATTTCAGTCCTTCACTAGCCTCCCTATTCACCATATTTAGCACCATCGGATTTCTGGCTCTTCTCCACA